ACAAAAGTTAATTGCATCTCTGATACCCATGACATCTAGAGATAGAATTAAAGCCATCCGGAATCAGCCAAGGACCATGGAAGAGAAAAGGAAGCTTCGGTATCGATCAAAAGCTTTTCTTCTTTCCCAGATTTTTATGCCAATCTCGAGCTTCTACTTTTGCCCCATCTCAGAAAGATAAGAAATAAACAAATGCAACAGAAGAGGCCATCTACCTACAGAAAATTCCACATAATCCCCTGTTGCCCAGAGTGGAGGCTGTGTGTGCTAGTGGCCAGCGTCCAAAGAGTAGTGTGTGGAAATAGGGAAAGTAACTTTCTAGAGATGACATCCATCTAACACTACCTCGGCCAAGTGATCAAGGTTGACATCTTCAGAGATGAGTCATGTGATCAGAAGGATATATCCCTCTGTGGCACTCTCTCTTGAAACCTGTAACCCTAATCTAACCAGAGAAAAAAGTCAGGAAGACCACAATTTGGGAGGGAGGGAGTATATTTCTACAAAATACCCAACCAGTACTACTCAAAATTATAAGGTCATCATAAATGAGGAAAGTCTGCAAAACTGTTATAGACTCGAGGATTCTAAAGAGACATGACAACTAACTGCAATGTGGATGGGATCCTTGAATAGAAAAGTCCAGCCATCTCGGTCTCCTTGGGGCTTTGAGTGTCCCTATGCATGGGACAGTCCTTTATCCATATGATGAACCCCTTCCCTCTTACAAGACTTTATTCAAAAGTCACGCTATTTCAAATTGTAACACAGTCCCCACCCTAGCATTACCCATCTCCTTACCCTGCTGTTTTCCTTTTTCTTCCCCATAATACATATTACCTTGTAACATGCCATGCAGTTTACCCACTTTATTATTATACTAGAGGCCCGGTGCACGAAATTCGTGCACAAGAGGGGGGGGGGGTCCCTCAGCCTGGCCTGCACCCTCTCCAATCCGGGACCCCTCAGGGGATGTCTGACTGCCTCTCACAATCCGGGACCACTGTCTCCTAACCTCTAGCCTGCCTGATCACCCCTAACCCCTCTGCCTGCCTGCCTGATCACCCCTAATCACCTCTGCTTGCCTACCTGATCGGCCCTAACTGCTCCCCTACTGGCCTAATCACCCATAACTGCTCCCCTGCTGGTCTTATTGCCCCTAACTGCCTCTGCCTCGCCCTGCACACGGGACCCAGGATTCCTCCCTCTGGCTGGCCGCAGGCACCCAGGACCCTGGCCGGCTTCGTCCAGGCCAGCCGTAGCCGCAGGGGACCATGGGCGGGCAGCTTCACCCGGGCCACAGCTGCAAGCACTGGCACCTGGGACTATGGGGTGGCAACTTGTCCCTCTCCCAGGCCACAGGTGCAGGCGCGGTCGCTGGCACCCGGGACCATGGAGCAGGCGGCTTGTCCCTCTCCCGGGCCGCAGCCCGGCTGGCCCCCATTCCTCTCTCGCGAGCTCATTTGTGCCTGGCTGGTCCCCATTCCTCTCTCCCCAGTGTTGAGTGTCTGAACTCCTACAGCGTGAAGGCGTGAGGGAGTGATGACCATTTGCATATTAGCTCTTTGTTATATAGGATTTATCACTTATTCTCTTTCTCTTCCAACTAGGATGTCAGCCCCATGAGGCAAGAAAATCCATCTCTCTCTCTCTCTCTCTCTCTCTCTCTTTACTTGTTTTGGGATTTAATGTCATAGTAATAGATTTTATTTTTTTAATTGGTCTCTTTATCTCCACCTGGGATGTAGTAGGTGCTTGGTAAACATTTGGGGAATGAATGTATTACAGTGCTTGCATCTCTCACTTGCTTCTGCTGTTCCCCCAGGAGAATGGTTGACAAAGAGAAAAGTAAGCAGTCCCGACGTATCTTTGAGCTCAACTGCTGCTCTCAGTGTTTGAATTCCATTTCCCTGGTAAGTCCGCCTGTGCTGCAGTCAGAGAAATGAGCACGAGAGGGTGAACACGGGGAGGTGGGAGAGTGGGGATAAACGGGGACCCACGGAGAAGAAGAACCAATTTCAGGGCTGTTTTACTGAGGCCATAAAAATTGGGTCAGTGTAGGTGTGGGGAAACCAGGTGAGTGTGCAAAGGTCTGGGTTATTTGGGCATTGTAGCCACTGTGAGTGTCACCTTCAACAGCAAATCTGGGAAAATAATGATGCACTCCCTTTAGGGGATGGGTCTGCAGATTAAATGAGATGACATTTGCAAATGCCTAACGAGGCGCCTGGCACATTGTAACGCTCTAGAAACGGTGGCTATTTTTGCTATTGTGGGACCTGCTCAACAGATATTTGTTGAGGGAATGTCAAGCCTCATCTTAACCCCAGGCATACCGGAGATGCAAGAACATCCTGTCGGAGCTGCTCAATTCCATCAGCCTGTGGCAGAAGACGCTCAAGATCATCGGAGGCAAGTTTGGAACCAGCGTCCTGTCCTACTTCAACTTTCTGAGGTGGCTTCTGAAGTTCAACATTTTCTCATTCATTGTGACCTTCAGCTTCATCACAATCCCTCAGTTTACCGTGGGCGGAAACAACGCTCTCCAATTCACAGGACTGGAATTTTTCACGGGAGCGGTAAGTTCTCCATTTCCCCCACTGAGAGTTCACCACCTTGGGAAACCCAGAGACACACCTTGCTGGTCACTGTGCCAGACCTCTCACTTTTTCCTGGGAGTCACTGATGGGGAAAGTGGGTGTTTAAATAATGTTTTTCTTTTTTCCCCAAAAAGAAACATGCACAACATAGGAGACTTTCTGTCTCCAGAAGCAACAGCGTATGTTGTACATATGCCTCCTTTTTCTCTTTTTTCACAAAAGATTAATTATTCATACGTACTGCCTATGATCTGCTTTCTGCACCTAATATGTGGTGGGTTTCTCATGTTGTGTTCATAGATTTTCTTTTTTCTCTTTCTTTCTATAAACTGTAATGCTCCTTTTGGAAAATTCCTGCTACAGAGGAGAAAAAACTAAGAGAAGTCCATTTTCCCCTTCTTCCCTTGTTTAACTCCCCACTTCAGAGGGTATCTTTGACCACTGTTTTTCTCACTATACCAACATAGAGATATACAGGCATAGGTAGGTAGATAGGTAGGTAGGTAGGTAGGTTGACAGATAAATATTCTTTTTAAAAATAAAAATAGGGTAGGATGCTACGAGTCTTGTTTTGCAACATGTTTTGCTTTACTAGGTATCTTGGGTATGTATAGGCCCATGTTCTTCTATGCAATAGCAACCACGATTCATTTACCCAGAGCTTTATCAAGGCACAGAGCCCCTCCCTTGTGAGCTCACCTTCTAGGAGAGATTTCTGCCATTGAGAGTCTATAGACCAGGGATGGACAAACTACAGCCCGAGAGCCAGATCTGGCCGGCCATCAGTGTTTGAACAGCCTACAAACGAAGATTGGCTCCTCCATTTTTCAATGCTTGAACAAAAATCCAAAGAAGAATAGCATTTTTTTAAATTAAATCTTTATTGTTCAGATTACATTTGTTCCTCTTTTTTTTCCCCCCCATAACTCCCCTCCTCCCAGTTCCCGCCCCACCCTCCGCCCTCACTCCCCACCCACTGTCCTCATCCATAGGTGCACCATTTTTGTCCAGTCTCTTCCCGCATCTCCCACTCCCCTTTCCCCCCCAAGAATAGTCAGTCCATTCCCTTTCTATGTCCCTGATTCATTGTAATCACCAGTTCATTCTGTACATCAGATTATTTATTCACTTGATTCTTAGATTCACTTGTTGATAGATGCATGTTTGTTGTTCACAATTTGTATCTTTACCTTTTTCTTCTTCCTCTTCTTAAAGGATACCTTTCAGCATTTCGTATAATACTGGTTTAGTGGTGATGAACTCCTTTAGCTTTTCCTTATCTGTGAAGCTCTTTATCTGACCTTCAATTCTGAATGATAGCTTTGCTGGATAAAGTAATCTTGGTTGTAGGTTCTTGGTATTCAGCACTTTGAATCTTTCTTGCCATTCCCTTCTGGCCTGCAAAGTTTCTGTTGAGAAATCAGCTGACAGTCGTATGGGTATTCCCTTGTAGGTAACTGACTTTCTTTCTCTTGCTGCTTTTAAGATTCTCTCTTTGTCTTTTGCTCTTGGCATTTTAATTATATGTGTCTTGGTGTGGTCCTCTTTGGATTCCTTTTGTTTGGGGTTCTCTGCACTTCTTGGACCTGTAAGTCCATTTCTTTCACCAGGTGAGGGAAGTTTTCTGCCATTATTTCTTCAAATAGGTTTTCAATATCTTGCTCTCTCTCATCTTCTGGCACCCCTATAATTCTGATATTAGTGCGCTTGAAGCTGTCCCAGAGGCTCCTTACACTATCTTTGTATTTTCGGATTCTTTTTTCACTTTGCTTTTCCGGTTGTGTGTTTTTTGCTTCTTCGCATTTCAAATCTTTGACTTGATTCTTGCGCTCCTCTGGTCTGCTATTGGGTATAATATTCTTTATATCAGTCTGTGTATGCTTAATTTCTAGTTGGTTCTTTATCATAGCTTTGAGGGTCTCATTAGTTTTTGTGAGGCTCTCATCAAGTTTATTGCAAGCCCTCAAAATTGTGTTTTTTAGCTCCATATCCTCCATTTCTGTCATGTTTTTTTGTCTCCGCATTTTTTATGCTTTCTTGGTGCACCCCCTTGTGGTCTTTGTGCGCAGTCTTGTTCTAGTTAAGCCTTGATTGTTGTAGTTAATACTAGAGGAATTTGACCACCAGGCCGACTGGCTGTGAGAATCAGCAGAGCCCGGGAAAACTTCTGTCCTCTGGGGAGGTGCTAATCTAGCCTTTGCCTGAGGCAATCCAGCAAATGGCTCTGGGCAGGGCTTGGGCGGGGCGGGCTCAACAGGGCGGGCGAGGGAGCAGTTATGGCTGCTCTCAGTCCCGTTCCCAGAGGCTCTGCTTCTCAGAACCCCGGCAACCGCTGCAAACCTCGGAGAGAAAGCTGCCCTCACGTTCCAACTGATGCTAGACAATCCCGCTTCTCCCGTTTGAGTCTGAGTCCCTAGAGACTCGCCCGGATCTGGAGCTCAGAGTCTGAGACTCCCTCCTGATTGAAAACGACAACCGCGCCCTCAGCCACCAGCCGACTCCACGACTCCATGCGCACCTCCGTACCTTTGTATTTTCCACACTGTGCCTCCTCTGAGCCTCGGAATGCTGTTCTCTTTCCTTCTAGTTGAAGAGTCTCTCCTCAGCCAGCCTTCCTGTGGTTCTGGGTGATGTCCGTTCCGTCTTTTAGTTGTATTTTTGAAGTGGTTGTTTGCAGCAGCAGTCTCCGGTGTTTACCTATGCCGCCATCTTGGTGGTCTCTCCATGTTCGAAGAATAGCATTTTTGAGAAGCATGAAAACAATATGAAATGCATATTTCTGTGTCCATAAATAAGTTCTTTCGGAACATGGCCACACTCCTTTGTTTACACATCTGCACTGCTTTTCAGCTGTCGGCAGAGATATTGCCGTGCTGTCATCATGGTCTGACATTTACTGTCTAGCTCTTTACAGAAGACATTTGCTGACTCTTGCCGTGGAATGTTCAAAATAAGGTCCTTCCATTTGTCTTTTTATTTTAAAGACAAATTTGATTTAAAAAATTTTCTTGGGCTGAAACCAGTTTGGCTCAGTGGATAGAGCGTCGGCCTGTGGACTGAAGGGTCCCGGGTTCGATTCCAGTCAAGGGCATGTACCTGGGTTGCGGGCACATCCCCAGTGGGAGATGTGCAGGAGGCAGCTGATCGATGTTTCTCTCCCATCGATGTTTCTAGCTCTCTATCTCTCTCCCTTCTTCTCTGTAAAAAATCAATAAAATATGTTTAAAAAAATTTTTTTTTCTCAGGATAGATGCATTTAAATGGAATTATTGTGTACTTTTTTCTCATTACTATGTGTATTTTGTGTTTTTGTATATATGAAACCTTTTATTATGAAAAATTTCAAACATACAAAAAACAAAGAGTAGTATAATAAACATCCACATACACACTATGTCAATTTAAATTTGTTAACATTTTGCCATATTTGTCTTACTGTTTTAGGAGGCATTTCTCAGTAGATTACAGACATCAGGACATTTCACTCTGAACTTCAAGGTGCAGCCTGCCTTTAGTCGTGCTTCGCTTGCTCGCTGGGTCCCGGTGGAATAGCTGGGTCCCTCTATTGTAAAGCTATGCCGGTGGGAGTCCTTTCCAACTAAAAGCTTAGTGATAAAATGTCTAGGTTCTCAGTGGCCTTGGAGGTTCCTTTTCCTTGCAAACAAAACATCGAAATGGACTGGTCCATGCTTCTAGAAGACAAAAGAGGTCAATAGTCACTCATGGTTTTCTCAAGAGACCCACCTGACGTAGGGCTTATTGTCCCTTCCAGGGTTATTTTTCTGACACAGTGATGTACTATGGCTTTTACACCAATTCTACGATCCGGCATCGGAGCGGTGGGGCATCCTACAACATGCAGCTGGCCTACATCTTCACAGTTGCAGCCTGTCTGATCATCTGCTTCTTCAGTTTGCTATTCAGGTACGAAGTGTCTGCATTCCCTGATTCTAAGCTCTTCTTAGATTTAGGCAAAATCCAAGAGACTCGCCCTAGCTGGTTTGGCTCCGTGGATAGAGCATTGGCCTGCAGACTGAAGGTCCCGGGTTCAGTTCCAGTCAAGGGCACATGCCCGGGTTTCGGGCTTGATCCCCAGTAGGAGGCAGCCAATAAGTGACTCTCTCTCATCATTGATGTTTCTATCTCTCCCTCCCTTTCCCTTCCTCTCTGAAATCAATAAAAATATATTTTTTAAAAAATTCAAGAGACTCAAAAGTTACCCAGGAAAAAGTTTCTCTGTAATCTGTCTGATCATTCCTTGTTCTGCAACATAAAATATAAGTTCAGAGAGAAGGGAGAGGTTTAGAGGTTTCCGTGTGAAGCATCGATCAGACTGTCAAACCTCAGAGGGAAGGTAGGGGAGGGTGGGAGTAAGGGGAAGAGATCAACCAAAGGACTTGTATGCATGCATGGACACAGACAACAGGGGGGTGAGGGCATGAGTGGGGAGGGGGAGTGGTAGGGTAATGGGGTGATGAGGACACATATGTAATACCTTAATCAATAAAGAAATTTTTTTAAAAAAGAAAAATAAATAAATAAAAGAAATTGGTCAGTCTGGACATAAGGATGCAATAGCTCAAGTAGTTATATGGACAGAAGGATATGGATGGACGATTGTCAAATGGTAAGTATCAAAGAGGAAGTACAGATGTTTACCCCTGTGTCCGTTTGCAGGTTTGGGTGGCTTAAGCAACAGGAATCTATTTTCTCAAGTTCTGGAGGCTGGAAGGCCAGGATCTAGGTGTTGGCAGCGTTGGTATTTTCTGAGGCTCTGTCCTTGGCCTGTAGACTGTTTTCTCTCTGTGTCCTCACATGGTCTTCCCTCTGGCCATGTCTGAGCCCTAATTTTCTCTTCTTATAAGGATTCGGGCCCAGCCTTAATGAGCTCATTTTAACTTAATTACATCTGTAAAGGCCCCACCTCCAAATATAGTCCATATCTGAGGTACTGGGTGTTAGAACCCCAACATATGAAATTTGGGGCTACACAATTCAGCCCATAACAACCTCATTGCCAGCAAATTAATTCAAAATAAAATGAGCTTTATTTTTTTTTGTCCTATCAAACTATGAAAATACTCAGTGGTGGCGCATTTTGGAAAGGGAGTGTCCACGTCACTGAGCATTTATGTATCCTAAGCCTGATTTCACTGGGTCCTCTCAACATCCCCACAATAATAAGAGCTGCCTTTATTGAGTGCTTGTTGCTCTCAGCACTACATCGATTCTTGTGGTCGGCTGAACAATGCCCCTCACGTCCCAAAGATGTCCACCTTCGAATCCCCAGAACCTGTGAACATGTTACCTTACCTAACAAAAGGGACTTGGCAGATGTGATTAAGGATATTAAAATGGGAAGATCTCCCTGGATTATACAGGTGGGGACAATGTAATCACAGGGTCCTTAGAAGGGGGAGGCAGGAGGGTCAAGGTTAGAGAGAGAGTGTCGGATGTTACTCTATAAGCCAAGGAATGCAGGCAGCCTCTAGAACAGCGGTTCTCAACCTGTGGGTCGAGACCCCTTTGGGGGTCAAACGACCCTTTCACAGGGGTCACTTAAGACCATTGGAAAACACATATATAATTACATATTGTCTTTGTGATTAATCACTATGCTTTAATTATGTTCAATTTGTAACAATGAAATTGGGGGTCACCACAACCTGAGGAACTGTATTAAAGGGTCGCGGCATTAGGAAGGTTGAGAACCACTGCTCTAGAAGCTGGAAAAGGCACGGATACGGATTCTCCACTCGCACCTCCAAAGGGAATACAGCCCTGCTGACACCTGGATTTTAGATCCATTTTCTGATCTCCAGTAAGAGAATAAATTTGTGTTGTTTGAAGCCACTATGTTTGGGACAATTTGTTACAGCAATAATAGGAAGCTAACACACCTCTCATAATAATTCTGTGAGGTGAGTACTATTATTATCCCCATTCTACAGATATGGAAACTGAGGCTTAGAGCAGTTAAAATGACTAAGATCCCCCAGCTGGCAGTGTAGGGTTGTAAGTCAGGCCTGTCAGATCCCAAAGCCAGAGCATCTAACCATTGTTTGTGATCACGCTGTTCCAGAAGAACTTGGAACTAACTCTTCCATATTATTGGACTTTCTTTTATTTTAATCCATGCAGTCTCCCTCCCCTCAGTGCTTGTCCTAATAACCCTTGGTATGCTGGTTTCTGCTTTCCCTAGCATGGCCAGGTATTTCCGGAACAACTTCATTAACCCCCACATTTACTCCAGAGGGATCGCTAAACTTATTTTTTGCTGGGACTTCACCATCACCCACGAAAAAGCTGTGAAGCTGAAACAGAAGAATCTTAGCACTGAGATAAGGGTAAGGAAAGCTTGCTTTTGACATCAACATCCCCGGCCAGTCTCCTTCTCTCCTTCAGTTTGTCTGTAACTTTTCTTAAAGTAATAAGGAATTATTTTTTTATTGCCAACGATATTAGCAAAGAAAGAAACCCCCCCAAAAACCCAGAAAAAAATATTCACAGTGCCCGGTGCTTGTGGTGGTGTAGGGAGCTGGACATTTTCACAGGACACGGTGGCTTTGGAATTTGTACAAGCTTACTGGAGGGCAACTTACAAAATGTTAAGCGTAAATACTTCTTGACCTCATAGCGCCACGTTTAAAATGTTATCCAGTGGTTTTCAACCCAGGAAAGTTTTGCCCTTCAGGGAATAGATGGCAATGTCTGGACACTTTTCTGGTTGTTATGCAATCTGGGAGGGGTGGGGGTGCTATTGGCATCTAGTGTAGATGCAGGTAAACATCCTGATATGCACAAGACAGCTGCCACACACAGAACTATCTGGCCCCAGATGCTGAAAAACCCTGGTCTATTAAAAAAAAAAACTTATTAAAAAGATAGAGCAAGCAGAATGCATAAACCAGGGGGCTTTGTCAAGAGGATTGCAGATGTTAACTTGTTATTCTTCAAGGGTTTCATGACCTCAGTGTACTTTCCTAGGAGCACAGTCCCAATCTGCTGGTCCTATCTGTTCCTCTACGATTAAAAACGGCATTTGATGCAGTAATGGAAGTTCTTGCCCATTTGAGATTTTTCCCATGGGGTCTCCCATAATCCCTGTTCATCATGAACTTGCCCTGTCTCTCTCCTGTGGATCTGGGGTGGATTTGTGTCTCTGGGAGTGAAGAGTATTCACCCTGCAGGCCAATGTGACTTCCTTGTGTTTATAGGAGAACCTGTCAGAAATCCTTCAGGAGAACGTCAAACTAACGCTCAATCAGCAGCTGACCCGCTTGTCTGTCCACCTGGCGGCCTGGGTTGTCTCTACCGGAGTGGCCGTTGCCTGCTGTGTAGCGGTTTATTACCTGGCTGAGAACAACTTAGAGGTAACCAGAGTGCCAGAAGCAGCAAGGTGCAGGCACAGAGAACCAGGGGAAGGGGAGGGAGGGGAGAGAGTAGACCCTGCTACTCACACTGCGTCCATTGGCATCACTTGGAAACCAGTTTAAAAATGCAGGATCTCAGGTCCCTCCTGTGGCCCATGGGCTCAGAATCACATCTTAGCAACGTCCCCAGGTGATGTGTGTGCACGACTTAATGTGAGATGCTCTGGGCTAGTGGAGAGACGGGAACTTTGGCTGGGTTCTTCCTTTATTATTATATCCCTGCTGCTTCCCCAAACCCCTGGCACAGTGTACACACTCACTAAGTATTGTGACCTGATGGACTCTGGCAAGTGACTTAATCCTTCTGAGCCCCAGACTCCTCACCTGTAAAGTAGGAATGGTCATACCTGGCTTTGTGGGTGTGTGGTCAGGACTAGAGAAAAGTTATGTGGAGAGTCTGCCCAGTGCCTGGTCCTGCGGGTGATGAAGGAATGTTAGTTTTGTTTTGTTTTGTTTTGAAATGATATGAACTCTGAGATCAATTAGCTATGTGGCCTGGGTCAAGTACTGTTTTCCTGTAGGTTTCAGCTTTTTCCTAGATGTAGCCAGTTTGCTGAGCTCTAGAACTGTGGTGCAAGTTGGTCACTTTTTTAAATGACTTCCCTTTACCCTCGATATAAAATCTATCCTCTGTAGCACAGTTGCTAGATCTTTTATAACCTGACCCCTGCCCATATCTCTAGCCTCAATACTCCACAACCACCCATATCCCACACCAGCAACACTAAATGGTGTGTCCATAGTTCCCTGAATACACCATGTTTTCCCTCATCTCTAGGTGAGAAACCTGCAGTCCATTCTGCATGCCCCTTCACTTCCCTTCATCTTATAAACTCCTTTTCCTCCTCTGGACCTCAGCATAGGTGTCACTTCCTCTTCTCTCGCCACCACC